TTCAGATAGTTTTCACGTTTCATGTAAAGGCGCAATGTGGTAATGCAGTCCCAGACGTGTACAGGGTATTCTCGTAGTTGAGCAGCAAGGTAGTTCTTGACAGCAAAGCCTACACCAGACCTTCGCGGCTCTGAGGGAGTGTCCTTTCCAAAAGAAAGTATACCCACCGCCGTGTTCTACCAGCTCTCCTTCATTAGAGAGGTGTGTTTCGCCGAGTGCAGCCACATCAATATTATAGCGACTTAGTTCCCGAGCTACGATGGCAGTTTTCTGCTCAGGTCTGGCATTTTCTTCGCGGTCAGGAAGTGTGCGCACATTCCACGCGCCAAATGTCATTGATTTTAATAAATTAAAATGTTCATTATTTTTTCTGCGGCGTCGACCGCGGATTTGTCATGCGGAGGCAGCCGCGGTTCCTACCATCATAAAGGATTGGAGTGAGCATTTGTTTAGGGCACCTTTTCTAGCCCCATCGCCGGCTGAGCGAGGAAAGCAGTGCCTCCCTAAATAGAGCTGCTTTGTCAACTTGGATGCTGCCGAATCCGCTCTGCCACCCCGATGCCGAGCAGAAACGACCACGATGTATATTACACCCCCAAGACCGCCTACGTGCAGGAGTCAAACAAAACCGAACGAGCACCACGTTAGGCCTTTCTACCTCCTCTCATCGCCGTAGGAGATTGGTTAAGATCGGAGTCCTAACTGGAAGGAGGTCAATTGCGCAGGAGATATTAACGTGCACAAGTGTACGCGCGGACACAGGTGTACGTACTCGTCTTTGTCCCCCTGGACCCAGTGGAACGGAGACCGCTACGACCGGAGAGGGACTCGGACAGATGGAACAGTAGCTATATCAGTGAAAAAGGTACAGGGGTCAGTCCTTTTCCACACTCGTATTGGTGGTGCTGTTCTACTCCGCCGCACATCACACGGCAAAAAAAATCTTTGGCTATCGTAAATCTAAATGACGCCATATTAAAAGATGCAGCGAAGCCGGGATGGATCTCTAGTTTCATAATAAAATAAATAGTTTAATTATGTAGGCGTTTTCGTGTTGTTAATCTATCTTCAAAAGGAAACCAGGTGCAATTTATTTAAGTGTTTATATTCGCTCCTTTAATTTTCATTTCTGTGATGAGTAATATAATAAAACGAAAGGTCACATGGTATTTAAAAGAAAGATAATGTATACAAAATATCGTAAGTAATTATAGGAGCTTGCAACTTGTTAATTTACGTACAACTGTTTGCGTATGACTGGTCATTTCTGCCTTTTGGGATCATTCCTAAAATTGGGGAGGCCTAGGTACAACATGCATACATACATAACATATAATTATTAGGAGCTGATATAGTAGAATAGAATGACAAATGGTCATTCTATTCTACTGGTGACCACGGTAGCCCATGATTCCTTTTCTGTCAAAAAGTTAGGAGATTATAATTGTCCCCTAAAAACCGTTAAGGATGTTTGTGATTGATTCATTTTCTTCCTTCTTTATGAGACTGTAAAAACCTATAGCTGGGTGTGTGCCTCTCGCGGTGAACGTAGGAATTTAAGCAAGGAATTTTAGAAGTTTGGCAGGACGATGAACGATCGGAGTGCCGGACGTCTCACATCTTTGGCGATGCTGCCCGTAGTCAGTCTGGATATGTTACGTCACGCCTAGCCTATGTTAACTCGAATTTTCCCAAATCCGTAGATTGGGATAAAAAATTCCGTAAAATTCCGTAGATGTTATTTCAAAATATTCATAGATCTGCACAGACTTCTTAAAAGAATCGAATATTTTTGTTTTTGTCATAGAATAGATCAATTTTTTTGAAAATATTGATCAAAAAATATTGATTAAAAATTAAATTTTATTACTAAAAATAATTTAATTTTCTTATAATTAAATTATTTGTAGTAAAAAACAAATAATTAACACTAAAATATTTGTGGATAGTTATACTAAAAAAAATACTTGATAGTTAAAATTTTCGATTGTCGGTTGTCGGCTAAGTTGACACTCATGATAAAGAATGTTTGTTAAATTTTTAAAAATCTATTTATTCTGAAAGGACTGTAAAGTACAAAAAAAATTTATTTAATATGGAATAAAATTCCGTAGAATTCAACTCAAATTTCGTCGTTCCGTAGACGATGAAAAAATTCCGTAGATCTACGTAAAAATCCGCAGAGTTGGCAACGCTGCGCCTAGCGTAAGGAAGATAGTTTTAATTATATATATATATATATATATATATATATATATATATATATATATATATATATATATGCTATTACTTGCATAACAGAACTCAGTTGATCTTTAATTTTATAATGCAAGCATTACATTGATTCACGTTTATGCTCTTCGTCAGTACCAGACTTATACTTACTACTTAAAAGTGCTAATACACAACAAATGGTACTAGAAACAGCTCACAACTGTATAGCGAGTTCACGTGGCATTATAATTATTCATGTTTATGCTATTGAACAGCTTTAAGCATTTATTTACCACTTAAAAATACTATTGTAGATCCAAATGCACTAAAAACAGCTGAAAGCTGTACAGCTGCGTTGTTGTTTGCTGCACTAAAACTAAAAGCTTCACAAAAGCATTTTGATATGCCAATATGCGACAAGATGCTCGGTTAATCTATATAAGAGTTTATGCAGATACCTTAATTTCTACGTGAGTTTACTATTCTTTTGATAAAGTACTTCCTGTGTTACTTGAGTAGTAAACCATATTTCGCAAACGAATTGGATATTAATTAATGTCCTCCAGACCGAATTCACGGGAGCCACTCTCAACGGAGACTAGCCATCAGCGCAGGACAGGATTATGTTCAAGAGTTCGTTCACAGGTGCACTCTTTATACCCTCATTCTCAACTCCGACTACTGAGAATTTCATGCGAGAAAAACCCGATAAATTTTTTTGATTTAAACCCGGGACCTCGTAATCAGCAATCGTGTTTACGACCGTTATACCAACGAGGCAGAGTGAGTTTGATGTATGTAGTTACTTAAACTACCTCATAACTAAGTACCTATAATATTCGTAGTATACGAGTCATACCAATTACGCTGTACCAATAGCATTTCATTCCGTGGGTGTCGTAAGAAACGACTACAGAAAGTACCAGAAAAATCTTATAGCTTATGATAGTTTTTTTATAGAATAAGAGTGACAAACGGGCACACAGTCCACCTGATGGTAAGTGGATGCTGTGGCCCATAGACATGTACATTTATCCTCGATTAAGAATTAAACCGCAGATACGTTGTCACCCCTGAGGTCTAAGATGTAAGATGGAATGCGTCGTTTCTAATAAAAAAGGATCTCTGTATCTCTACACTCACCATATGAAACAATGCATTATTAACTGCTATTTTTCGCTGGTATTCTATGAGATTACGTTAAAACTATCTTCCTTACGCTAGGCGCAGCGTTGCCAACTCTGCGGATTTTTACGTAGATCTACGGAATTTTTTCATCGTCTACGGAACGACGAAATTTGAGTTGAATTCTACGGAATTTTATTCCATATTAAATAAATTTTTTTGTACTTTACAGTCCTTTCAGAATAAATAGATTTTTAAAAATTTAACAAACATTCTTTATCATGAGTGTCAACTTAGCCGACAACCGACAATCGAAAATTTTAACTATCTAAGTATTTTTTTTAGTATAACTATCCACAAATATTTTAGTGTTAATTATTTGTTTTTTACTACAAATAATTTAATTATAAGAAAATTAAATTATTTTTAATTGTCTGGAGGACATTAATTAATATCCAATTCGTTTGCGAAATATGGTTTACTACTCAAGTAACACAGGAAGTACTTTATCAAAAGAATAGTAAACTCACGTAGAAATTAAGGTATCTGCATAAACTCTTATATAGATTAACCGAGCATCTTGTCGCATATTGGCATATCAAAATGCTTTTGTGAAGCTTTTAGTTTTAGTGCAGCAAACAACAACGCAGCTGTACAGCTTTCAGCTGTTTTTAGTGCATTTGGATCTACAATAGTATTTTTAAGTGGTAAATAAATGCTTAAAGCTGTTCAATAGCATAAACATGAATAATTATAATGCCACGTGAACTCGCTATACAGTTGTGAGCTGTTTCTAGTACCATTTGTTGTGTATTAGCACTTTTAAGTAGTAAGTATAAGTCTGGTACTGACGAAGAGCATAAACGTGAATCAATGTAATGCTTGCATTATAAAATTAAAGATCAACTGAGTTCTGTTATGCAAGTAATAGCATATATATATATATATATATATATATATATATATATATATATATATATATATATATATATATATATATATAACAAGAATTGCTCGTTTAAAGGTATTGGATATGTCGGAGCGGAAACCTCGGGGTTGTTTTTATGGTGCGGCAGCACCACTGTCTCCATTTGACAAGGGTTCAGTCGTGCTACAGTATATTGTTTCCATTGTAATGAAAGAGATCTAAGACCACACACTTTTAATTTTGCACTACAATAAATTTATTCTACACTTCTTATTATGAAGCCTCACAAATAATACAAAGTTTTACCGGGAAAATAGAACTACACCGACGAGCGCGGGAACTGAAGCGAGTCTATTCCCGCGTTCATATAATAAGGAAAACGTAATAACGACTTAGGTGTGCTCTGATTGGTGAACTAATTGGTGAAGTGGTGAACTGGGATTCCGGCAAAATCCTTTCAGAAAGTTTCCTGAGACGGTTTAATAGAAGCCTGGCGAAGATGTTTCCAGGCACAAAAAATAGAGAAATGCCACGGTAAGAATTGCAGTTCGACGGGTCACCCTTGCCCTTATATAAGGCTCGTATGAGGGATACCTTAAAAGTATTAGGAACTTGTTCTTTTTCCCACATAACGACAAAAAGTTCCCATTTCGCCGAATACTAAATCCCCACCGCCATACTTCAATAATTCACCCGGTATAAAATCAATACCATCCGCGCGTTTATTTTGCTGTTACTTAATAGCAAGAGCAACCTCGTCAGGCGAGACTGGCTCATCGAGCTCGAGGGCGAAAGGTTGCTGAGGTAGGCAGCGAACATGGTCTAGGTTAACAAAATGATCCACGTTAAGTAGGGTGTTGAAATGCTCCGCCCATCGCTCGAGTATTTCCTCCCTGCTTTTAAAAAGCGCTTCACCACTAGTTGAATTCAGGGGAACTTTTGCCATAGTGGACGTACCGAGTAGATGTCGCACCTAAGCATAAAACTCACCGAGCTGGTTGGTATCAGCGAGCCACTTGTAGTGTTATGCTACTTACATATCATTTTACACTATTTTAAATTTATTTTTCCATTCTGTTTTTGATTTTCTGCATTCACCTCAAAACTGGATATTTTGCATCACCTTTATTTCCATAGGATCCTGTAACGTTTTTAAACCATAAGAACACAATAACAAATCATTTTCACGCTATCAGCACTTTTTAAATCGGTGTCAATGGAGTCTACCTTTTTCGATCTTTTATTTAGTAGCTGTGCGTGCTTGCTTCAAGCGCTGCGTGTACCTACTCCGGGCGCTGCGTGTGCCTACTCCGGGCACTGTGTGTGCCTACTCCGGGCGCTGTGTGTGCCTACTCCAAGCGCTGCGTGTACCTGCTCCAGACGCTGCGTGTACCTACTCCAGACGCTGCGTGTGCCTACTCCGGGCGCTGTGTGTCCCTAGTCCGGGCGCTGTGTGTGCCTACTTCAAGCGCTGCGTGTGCCTACACCAGACGCTGCGTGTGCCTAGATCAGGCGCTGCGCACCTACCACAGGCATAGCCTATGCATACTCCGTGAGCGGTGAGCACCACTGCCAAGCGCGGTGTGCCACCTTGGTCTTCGGGCTCCGTTTCAGTACTCATTTATCTTTGTTTTTTTTTTAAAAATAATTGTAATTCACGTCATCCATCATCATCTTCATATTTTTTTTATATAAAAAAACTGTAAATATCTTTTAAAATTTTAAATAAGTTATTTTTTTTGTTGTTTCGTTGTTGTTAGGTTAGGTTCTTTTGTTTTTAATTGTCGCTTTACGACACACTGCATCTGACGAGCCTTCTCCTGCCACCACTTATCTTTCGCTTGTCGTGCGAGTTTACGCAGCTCCAGATCACTATGACGCAACTCCTTAACACTTCCACTCTGATGAGTTTTACTGTGCTGCTTTAGGAGCATACGGTGTTTATTAATAGCGTCCGTAAGTACCCCATCATTATCATCAAACCAGTCCTTATGTTTTCGAACTCTCAAACATAAAGTAGATTTAGCAGTGTCGAGAACATGAGAAGATAGAGACTCCCAGACAGTATTGATCTCACCTGATTTTGGGTCGAGGGGCTGCAGAACAGTGCTCAAGGTTTCGGCATATTTAACCATCGTGTTAGTATCTTGGAGTAGTTCAAGGTTTAGACGTATCTGTTTAGATCTTTCAGATCTACAAGGACGTGGAAGACGAAGATTTAATTTAATAACAACAAGCCTGTGATCAGTCCAACAGTGAGCACCACGCATGACACGGGTGACCAGGACTTGAGAGATGTCCTTTAGACGCACGATAGCGTAATCGATAAGGTGTCAATGCTTCGATCTGGGGTGCATCCACGTTGCCTTGTACTTGGCAGGTAATCTGAACATAGTATTTCTAATTGCAAGATGTAATTGTGCACAAAAACTAAGCAGCAGTACAATACAATACAATACAATACAATATATTTATTTGCATTCCATAATGTAGAAATTAATAATATTCAATTTTCACAATATGGACCCTGTCGGGTATAGCAAATTAGAACAGGGGGACGCAAAAATGTTTTATTATTCATTATAATTATTATATTTTTCATTATATTTAAATTATTCCTTATTATTATACTATCATTATTCGTATTATTCATTCATTTATTTATAGTTTTCATTATCATTATTACATTTGTCATTCAGGTATTCATATAAAGTATAATATCATTTATTGATTAGAAACACTTTTAATTGTCTTATAAAAATATGATCATTTGTTTCGTTTTTTAGTGAGTTTGGTAGTTTATTATAGACAGTTATTGACATTATGTAAGGGCCTGAGGAAAAGAGCTTCATTTTAGAAGTTGGTAGCAATAACCTATTTCCGTGTCTTAAACTATAAGCCGTAATTTTAGTTTCTCTTTTTACGTAGAAATTAGGATATTTTCGCACAAATTTGCATAATTCCAATATATAAATACAAATTAGGGTAAGAAGTTTAAGTTTTTTAAAATGAGGACGACAACTTTCAGTTCTTTCTATGTTACACATAATGCGAATTAGTTTTTTCTGTAAGATGAAGATGGTGGTTGCATCTGTACTGTTTCCCCACAGGATAATACCGTACCTTAGCCACGCCTGTGCATAGGCATTGTAAGTAATTAACGCGGTCTGGAGGTCAGTTGTCTTTTTTATTTCACTTAGGCCGTATACAAAACTAGAAAATTTGTTACGAATTTTCTGAACGTGAGATTTCCAGTTGATGTGACTATCCAAAACTATGCCGAGTAGAGTGTGCTCATTTACAGTCTCGATTTTTGTATTTTTGTAAGAAAAATCAATTTTTATCGGCGTTTTTTGATAGGGGTAAAAAGGCAAATTTTTTATTTTTTTGTAGTTTATTTCCAGGTTGTGCTCTTTCATCCATTGGTCAGTATTTTCAAATATTTTATATAATATATCATTTACGTTATTTACGTCACGACAAGGTGCTAAGATAGAGATATCGTCCGCAAACATAACACATGGGTTAACCATAGTTTCACTGAGATTGTTAATATATATTAAAAATAATAAACATCCCAATACACTACCTTGGGGTATTGAAGCATTTACAATTATTTTATTTGATCTCACTTTTAATATTTTATTATTATCAAAGTATTCTATTTCTACATATTGTTCTCTATCTTGTAAGTATGATTTGAACCATTCTAAACTAATCCCACGAACACCTATACAATTTAATTTATTAAGTAATAAGTTATTATATTGTACCTTATCGTATGCTTTGGTCATATCTAAGAGTATTCCTATTGCATATTGTTTATTGTTTAATATCTTTAGAAAATCTTGAATATATTTATATACTGCTAGTACGGTAGATCGATTTTTACGGAAACCGTTCTGAAATACTAAAGATTTTTTTTTTTCGCAAAAATTATACACAGTTCGAACATTGCTTTTTATTTTGAGATTTAGGGAGTAAGTGGGATGGGTTTTGAATTTTTTTGGATGGGTATTTATGCCTTTTTTAACATGTCTGGGAAAATGTTCGTGAGAGATTGTTGATAGTTCACAAAGTGGTAGAGCTAACCCATCTGCGCAATATTTTTAGATGTGGTAATTGTTATCCGAAGTTTTTTATTTTTATTTTGTATTATTTATATATTCTTGTCACTGGGCTGAGATACATAGAGTTATTTGACACTTTTTGTGTAGTTGAAGTGTGGGGTTCAATTTTTGCCTACGAAGCATAGAATCTATTAAAAGTATTTGCAATTAAAATCGGGTCTGAAGTTAAAGTACAGTTGGCCGCTGCTGTTCATTTTACCAACACCATGTCTGCCCAGAACTTTAGGCTATCCTTGGACGGATACGATCTATGCACCGCGTCAATTCTTCGTAAAATTTGTCCTTAATTTCATCAGACTTGTCTAGCGTAGGGGCATACACTGATGACATTAAGATAATAATAATAATAATAAATGATTTATTTTCTTACCACAATATTACAGAATTATTGTACATAATATTAGAATAGTTACACCTTAATGTTATACTGTGGGAGACTGGTGCCTAAGCTAGGCTTTACGCCTGTATTTCAGGCCACCAGGTCTCCGCCCTATGGTTGTAATTACAATACTTTTACCATGTACATGTACCATATTAGTAATTTACATAATGTACCTTCTTTTACTTAACTAGTATTTAATAATTACTAATATTGAATCTGTGTGTGTGTGTGTGAGTTCGTGTGAGTGAGTGTGTGTGTGTGTGTGTGTGTGTGTGTGTGTGTGTGTGTGTGAGTTCGTGTGTGTGTGTGTGTGTGTGTGTGTGTGTGAGTTGTGAGTGTGTGTGTGTGTGTGTGTGAGATAGAGTTTGTTTGTGTGCGTGTGAGTGTGTGTGCGTGCTTTTGTTTGTTAGTTAGTAACTGGGATAGAAATTAAATTTAGGTTTGGGTTAGTATTTAACTTTAGTACGGATAGTAATTAGTTAGGATTAGTGGGTAGCTTTCAGTGTTATCATAATTTAATTCTTGTAGCCACATAGTTATTTTATTTTTGCATGTAGTCTTATTGACGTTAAATATAGGGATAATTTTATTGATTTTATTGTATAGAAAACCTCCGAGGTGACAAAAGAAACGTTTAGATAGTTTGGTGGATAGAGTTATATGAGTGCGGTCCACGGGGTTAAAACAGAACAGAAGATAGTTTTCACGTCCCATGTAAAGGCGCAATGTGGTAATGCGGTCCGAGATGTGTACAGGGTATTCTTGTAATTGAGCAGCAAGGTAGTTCTTAACAGCAAAACCTACACTAGACCTTCGCGGCTCTGAGGAAGCGAGTCCTTTCCAAAAGAAAGTATACCCGCCGACGTATTCTACCAGCTCTCCTTCATCGGAGAGGTGTGTTTCGCTGAGTGCAGCCACATCAATATTATAGCGACTTAGTTCCCGAGCTACAATGGCAGTTTTCCGCTCAGGGCAGGCATTTTCTTCACGGTCAAGAAGTGTGCGCACATTCCACGCGCCAAATGTCATTGATCTTGATAAATTAAAATTTTCATTATTTTTTCTGTGCCGTCGACCGCGGATTTGTGATGCGGAGGCAGCCGCGGTTGCTACCATCCTAAAGGGTTGGAGTGAGCATTTGTTTAGGGCACCTTTTCTAGCCCCCTCCCCGGCTGAGCGAGGAAAGCAGTGCCTCCCTGAATAGGGCTGCTTTGTCACCTTGGGTGCTGCCGAATCCGCTCCGTCACCCCGATGCGGGGCAGAAACGACCACGATGTATACTACACCCCCAAGACCGCCTACGTGCAGGAGTCAGACAAAACCCAACGAGCATCACGTTAAGCCTCTCTACCTCCTTCCATCGCCGTAGGACGTAGATTTAGATCGGAGTCCTAATTAGAAGCAGGTCGATTGCGCAGGAGATATTAACGTGCACAAATGTACGCGCGAACACAGGTGCACAGGGACTCGGACAGATGGAACAGTAGGCACATCAGTGAAAAAGGTACAGGGGGTCAGACCTTTTCCACACTCCCTTAGTCGTCTTCTACGACACCCACAGGTAGACATGGGTTGGTGCTATTCTACTCCGCCGCACACCACACGGGTTCTCTACACTCACCATACGAAAAACAGCACAAGCTACTATTATGACGCTGTTATTTTGTGAGAGCGTGGTCCTTCCCCAGTCGAGCCGACCCGTTCGTGCTACAACTATACTACTAATATAACTGCAGCATGGCTCTACCACGTGTAGTAGACTTCCTGGACTGGTCTTTGGGGGACTCTTCTTCAGACCGACTGCGTTTTTTCGCCTTCGAAACTGGGGGAGGCTTGGGCAGAGGAATTTTATCCCACTCTCTCAGCTGAGATAGGGCCTCTTCGGCTCCTATCTCAGCTGCTTTCAGCCTTCTGAATTTCTTAGTAGTACAGACAGTACCTGTCAATGTCATACTTTATGGGCATGCCGACCTAATTAGTGCACTGTACTACTGAGAAATTCAGGACTTTATAGGCGTGATTTTTACTGACAGCTGTCGCAGAGATCAAGCTATCTTTTATGAACTATAGTTCCATTAAAGGAGATTTTTCATTCTCTTTTTCAAAATGGGGAAATACTCGGTCACCCCTGGCAGAGCCCCGAATGCCGAGGGAAGGGCTAAAATACTACCCGAATCGACGTGGTCTCAGGTAGGCACCGTTTGCGACTGGACTCCCTCCAGCCACGCATCCATCGGCAAGGTACGCTTGACACCTTGGATTGGGTTAGGATAGGAAAAGGGGATGGGATAAAAGAAAAGAAGGTAGTCTGAGTGTTTCTGTTTTGTCTGTTTCCTATTGAAACAGACCAAATAACAGGTGGCAACCACGTGAAGGAAGAACTCCTCAGACTCTCCCTGGGGATCAACACCACCTGCGCTCTCCCCTAGAACCATAACGCCAAACTGGTTGCCGGACAGGAGAGCAGAATAGGTGTTAATCTAGTCCTAGTAATAATGTCAAAAGTTAGGAGTAGACTAACCCCCACCCAAAACGATACTGTTGACGATGGGACCGGAAGAAAATCGAATTTTTTGCTTTTTTTGAATCCTTGAAGATCTTCGATTATTATATTGCTATTCATGATATTTTCTTAAAGATATTTCTCAGTGGTTTGTATTCGAATATACAATCGTTTAAAATCAAGCAATAAGCGGTTGTCTAATCTGGTGTTTCTTGGTCTGTTTCGATTTCAACTCTCACATCGATCGAACCTTCT